TTGGTCAGGTAACCCTGTATATATATATATTTGTTTTACGAAAAACAAATTATGTTCGCTAGCTGTTCGCGCGAATGTGAAGGGGCGCGAAAATGTTCGCCGTGCTACGCAGATTATTATTATTAAAAACAATCTCACATTTTATGAGAAAACTCCTCTTAAAAGCGTATATATATATCATATATGTATGAAACTCCGTCGAAATAATTTGTCACAACCCCTCGCTTGTTATCCTTTTTTTCCTCACTACCTAAGCAACTCTGTTTGACGATATATATATATTAGAGATCGATAAAAAAAAGCTCCGAAAAAAAAAAAAAAAAAAAAAAAAAAAAAAAAAAAAAAAAAAAACATAATGACTTTTTGCTATTTATTCAGTTTCATAGATACAACTTGTATCTTCCTTTTATTAATTCATTTTTGTTTATGCTATTCACTATTAGTTTAGTCATGCTTTTATTTTATTTTATCACCATGAAAAAATGTTAAGAGTGAGAGAAGAAGGGAATAATCTCCCTCCATGACGCAGAGGAGTGTTGCCTAAGTTTGCTTTCACCAAACATCCAAGCGATCTCAAGTCTTCGCCATCTGCCACCCGCTGCATTTTTCACTTATAGCATGTTTTTGCCTTAACCTTCTTCGATGTATCCGACCTTAAGCTCCAACAACATAAAAAAAATAAAAGGGAGGAGAAACCTTATACTACGTGACAAAAGATTACGACCGACTAACATCCCCACATGACGGAGAAAAACAATCATAATACCACATTTTTTTGCCACTTGTCATATAACAACAATTTCATAAAAACGAACATTTTTTATTTTTTGAAAGAAATCGACTAATTTGGCAAGAATCCGCATAAGCCAGGTTGAAATTTTGTCGAAATTGAGGGTCCAACATTCTTAAAATGCTGGAACAACTAGACTTCAACAAGTCTAGATACATCCAGGGGGTCCGACATTCTTAAAACGTTGCCCCCTGGACTTCAACTAGGTCAAAATACATCCTAAGGGTTCGACATTTCAAGAAGGTCACACCCTCAAATTCTTCAAATTTTATTCTGGCTCAGGCAATTTCAGACCAAATTGATCGGTTTCGATTTCTTTCAAAAAATAAAAGATGTTCGTTTTGATGAAATCGTTGTTGTATCGCTTAATCAACCCTCCCACCATCACTTTTTGCAAGGTGCCATGCACCAGAGAAAAGTCGCTTGAGTCTGAATCGCCCGTGTTTAAGCAATCTAAGAACCTCGCTCAACTGCCGCTTAACAAACTTGTTTACTCCCTACAAAAAAATGATGGATAAGCCATATGTCATTAGCAAAAGCGTTTTGTTGACCAGTGTCACCGCATGAAGGCGACAAACAATCATCTGTCGTATCACTTAACCATGTCTCTTCTCCCTTCATCACTTCTCACCAGGTGACACATACTAGACGAGCGTCGCCTGAGTCAAACTTACCCTGCGGATATCCAATCTCAGGACCTCGCTAGATTGTCACTTGACATTACTCAGCCACTCTCGCACCTTATGCACAACAACATTTCTTGAACCCACCATCGCAGGACGGTTAAGCAATTCCATAACCTTCCTCACCTACCACCTGGTGTATTCCCTAGTTATGACATCTCCTTCCCCGAACCTTATTTCCTATAACTAACATAAGTTTTAACACCTTCCAAAAAAAAAAAAAAAAAAAAAAGGAAGACGGGAAGGAAAGTTGTTGTCTACCGCCATCTCTCGATGACAAACCGATCGTGGGTCCCCTCTCATCTGCCACTCATCACACCACTTCCTTAAGACACCCACCTTAAACCACCAGTACTTGGCCCATCTATCAAGTCCGAGCCCCCAACGACCGGTATGTCAAGCCTGCCAGTACCAGTAGCTCGAGGATCCGAGGCTAGGGGGACTAGTTGAAAAATAAAAACAACAAAAAAAACAAACAAACAACAACGTCGGGGATGTGAATACAGTCGGATGCATTCTTCCGAGTGCTAGTGTGAGCACGTTGCAGTTTGGGTGTATCAGCCCCGTGGCGTTTTTGTCAGAATCCAAAAGTAAAAAAAAAGAAAAAAAAAGAACAAAGAAACGTATCTCAAAGAAGAAGAAGAAAAAAGAAACACAAATTTGACACTGAAATAAGTTAGATACATTTATTTGTGTGCAAGTGTGAGTATGCTCTCAACGAGGGCTGTTTAGTAGATCACGGGATATACCTTGCGTAGTTGGTAATGGAATCTAAAAAAAAAAAAAAAAAAAAAAAAAGCAGAAAAATACGACATCCAAAATCTAACTGAAATAGTATTCATAAGCATTCCACCAAGAACCTACGTGACCATGACCCCCGCCCAACTTTAAAAAATATATATATATATTTTTTGTTCTTGCTCTTCTACGTCGCAATTCTCACTGATCGACCGTTCATGTGAACGACCCCGCCCCAAATGCGGCGCGTTAACGGGACATGCCCGCGGCCTATAGCTGAGCCAAGTACTGGTGGTTTAACATTTCCTTCCAGCATCACCTTGCACTCTTACCAGGTGAAAAATGTCAGAGGAGCGATGCCCGAGTCATATTAGCTCACATATAAGCAATCTCAGATCCTGCTCAACTTCCACTTCCATATCTGTCAAAAAAAAAGAAAAAAAAAAGGGCGGGGTGACTCAGACAAAGGAAATCACGAGGCTTCAACATAATCTTGTACCCTTCAATTTCCACACTTCTCATCTACTCATCTCTATGTTCTTGTCCTAATCGACACTTTGTCTTATTCAAATTACTTACAATAATGACTTTAAAAAAAAAAAAAAAAAAAAAAAAAAAAAAACACTCAGCCCCGACCAAGGTTGTGTCCACGAACCACTTGCAAGACGATTGCCAACTCAAATCTTTTTTGAACTAATAAAGTTATTTATTCTTGTCTCGCAGATACAACAAGGATGGACTACCTCTTTGTCAATTTCTTATCTGTGATACTTGTGATCCTCCCCTTCGTCTTTACCAACCACTTACTAGCCTAACTCCCTATGAATCCCTTCCTCCGAACGTGCTTTCCAATCAGATTATTTTCTCGGCTCCTTTTTCTATTTTTCGTAAGCTCTATTGCACTCTCTTTTCCTCGTCACTCTCATTTTTACATTCCTACTCTCCTTCCTTGACCCAATCAATTAGAAATTTTAGTTTCGGAGCACATGACTTTGTTGAAAGATTCTTGATCTTCTGACCGCTTCCACATCTATGAAATCAGTTTTACTCAATATGCCTAGCTTACAAAAAAAAAAGGAAGAGGAAACATATTTTTCAACACATGTCACAGTTTCACCTTCTCCGGAATGACCACTGAGATACTGTTCAACTTAGTTGCAAAAAAAAAAAAATAATAATAAAATGACGATTGCCTGAAAACGACCCTCTCCAACCACCTCTACTTTCATGTTTGACCTGCTGACCTTCATCCCCACCAACTTCACCCTGCAAATAAGTGATGATAGCAGGGAATGATGGCCAAAGCCAATCCCCTCTTTTTTATTGAGCCTACAATTATGAGCAACTGGATACACTTTATTGTTCAAAAGAGGAAAAAAAAAAAAAAAGTTGGTGCACAAATGCGATTATTTTTATGAATGATAAAAATTCATAAAACAACATTTGCACATCACTCTATTTGTTTATATCACCTCAAAGTACAAAAACCTGTCAGCAATACTCAAAACTTTGACATTTATTTTTCTTTCAACAAATGCTTGTCTAAGTCATGCACTCTTTCTTCCCTGTAGATAGATCAGTGGCATCATACTTTAATCTCGGCCTCCAGGCCGCAATCGGTTATCGGAGCCCAAGTCTTCAAACCCAGAACCTCAACGAACTCACCTCCAATTTCCAAACAGAAGATAATCAAACCCATAAGGTCCATGTCCATGCCATAAAATTGAAATCACCCGATCTCCCAGCAACCCAACCACCGCTTTCACCTTCACCACCTCCCCGAATCTGATCCATACTACTCCAAAACCCCAATGCCATCAACGAACCGTCTTCCTCCTCTTCCTATCTTACTTCACAAGATACTATTGAAGTCTTCGAAGAACTGAAGAGACAACCGCAACAAAAAATTGAGGAAAACAAGAAAGACAACGAGCGTTTCCACAAGATGGTGCTCAAGAGTGAGGAAGAGAATGAGGCTCTGCGCCAACTCTATTAGAATTTGCAATTAGAACTCAATGCCATCCTCGACAAAATAATGGGAATATCACCTCCTGCCCACAACGAACTTTCATCATGAAAGCGCATATTCGTCTCATCTGGCTACTATGCTCAGATTGAGGCCGTTGCACGTTTCCACAAGGTGAACATGAATTATCAGTACTATTCCATTGGCAAATCTATGACCGCCGACTTCCACGCCGGGATAGCCTTAGTGACCAAGGACTGTGAAGGTTGAGGCCTCTGGTGACACCAGTCGAAACCCCACAAATGACATTTGTAGGGGTACCGGTTAAACAGGTAGGGACAGTGCCTGCGACAATTGTATGTAGGGCTCGAACCCGAGGTTCTTGGTGGCTACCTGGCGATTCAACTGATTTTTCCATTGGGCGCCGGACGAAGGGTCTGGGAGTATGGGACAATGCTTTTGTTTTTGATAGGTCCATTGGTTTGTTTTTGCTTTGTTCTTCGTCTTCTTCTTGCCTTTGTTTTTTTCGTTTTTTGCTTTTATTTTGTTTCTTCATTAAAAATTTTCCGACGACAAGTGGGGTCGAATTGGCTGGGGTTGTGCAACCGCGTCTCTTGTGCCTGATAGTACGAGCAGTCTCCTAGGTAGAATCCTTGTTATTCTTCTCTTTCCTATTTCTTCGCTACTCTGTTTTTCTCTATTTCAATCTTTGCTTTTGTGTGTGTGATGGCGGCCCCTTTGAGAGGTGCATGTTTCAACTGCGGGCAGCATGGGCATTGGTCTCGTGAGTGCCCACATCCAAGAACGTCATATCCAAGACCTTCGGTGGCAACTGGTGCTAACGCGGAGCCGATTCTCGCATTATCGGTGGCTGGAATACATGTGGCTACAAGTACGGCGATGGGTACCAGCGCAGGTGTACCCTTCGGCCCCTCGGGCTGGATGGTGGACATGTAATCAACAAATATTGGATAAGTGCAATGCGTTCGTGAGCAAGGCTGAGCAAAAGGAGCAAGAGAAGAGGGATACCAAAGAACGTAAGAGGATTAAATGGGAGAAAGAGGAGGAAGTCGCAAGAGTAAAAAAAGAAAGGGAAGACTTTGAAAGTCAAATGGGGCAGAGACTCGAGAATAGGCTTGCACCAAGGTACGAGGCTATAATGGGGAAGAGAGTAGCAAGCACCAACACGACAAACAATGAAGTTTGCCGCCTCCAACGGAAGAACGAAGAACTATGGACTAAGTATGGTATCCAAGAACAGATGTCGACTACATATATGGTTGATCGGTTCCAAAAGGAAAACGACAAGCTCCGGAAGCAGGAGGTGAAGCTGAAGCTAAAGATGGAAGGGGACCTTGCGGTAATCAGGTGGGAAATTTTGGGTCTGAAGGAGCACTGGGAATCTGAGGGGAAGAGTGAACTCATGAAGCAGATCGAGGACCCGCGGGCGGAAATGGAGGCGCTACGTAGACAAAATGAAGAAATGGAGGAGGTGGCTCAACTATGGCGTAGTAAGGCACTGAGGCCCGAAAATAAGCAAGGTAGTATCAATATCATGACTCCTATGAACGAACGCCATGCAACGATACGCTTTGGACTGACGATTATACCAGAAGAAACAAGGAAGTTGAGGGCGGTGGTCGAGGAATTGCAAGAGCGACTACAGTGCGGCTTGAAGGAGCGCATGGCATTGGCGAAGGCCAAGCGCTTGGAAGCGGAAGTCGAGGTGACGGGTTTGAGAGAAACAATGGAGTGCCTATCAATGGACCAAGCAGGTTGCTGCTCGCCTCACGAAAGGGGTACTAACTTGAAAGAAAAAGTAGAGGAGGCGGTCAACACCGGTTTCCGGATCGGGAGGAAAGGAAAAGTCAAGATGACTCCGGGACAAATGCCAAGGCAGGTGGCAGTGCCTGGAAGGTCAACGATAGGTTTACCTTCATCCAGCAGGAAAGGACGTGACTTCGGGCGCTCAAGAAATGGGGTCTTGAGCCATTGTGCAAGGAAGCAGGCATTAAGTTCAAAACAATTGATGTTACTGTAGACGAACTTGCGAAATGAAACGCGGACAAGGTTTTCAGAGACAGCCATGGCACTGAGACGCCTTTGTGAAGGAGGTGCGATTGGGGAAAGGAGTCAGCAAGGAAAGTAATGTAACGGTCGTGGAGAAGGTGTCATCCAACTCGGCTTGATGGGACCTCCCGAGCGCGACTCTTTGGGGTATGGTTAGTCTCTGTCATGATTGAAGGACTTCTGCTTCTGCTTTAAGAGAGGTAACATGAAACTCTTTTTTCCAACTGGTCGTTCTTGATCTAATACCGAGAGGTTTAATTCCTTGGGCTTCCAACTATCGATCTTATATCCAGGCTATGATTAAAGATGGTGGTGATTTGTTACGGTGCAAAGGGTCGTTGGTTTATGTACACCTACATAGGCTCGACTGGTAGATCTATGGACGTATGGTGAAATGAACACGTGTACCGTACTTGTGATAGGGGCATCATGGAAAGAGGGGATAAGAATCATATGTTGTACAATTGGTTAAGGTGTTGAGGGGCAGAACATTACGTGGCACTTTTGTGGGAAGGAGGATTTTCTAGGACTGGGGAAATTCACTATTCGAAGAACTAACCCCTTTCTCAACAGTCGGGATAAACCAGTTCGTCGTAGGAAGTGTCGCTTGGGAAAAAGGGAGAGAAGCAAGTGGAAGCACAAATCGAAGGATAAAAATGGTATGGATAATATAAGAAACTTTTTCGCGCATGTGCACCTGCGATTCATGTCTGAAGATGTTAGCACAACTAGCTTGGTACGACTGTTGGAAGACGCAAGGAGAAACGAAAAGAAGGAGGTGGTTGTTACGTGCGGAGGGGGGGGGGGGCTGCTGATGGATTAGTGGAAAGTTATGAAATGTCTCTTCGGAGGATCAATTGTTGAGTCTGTTTTTGGTGTCAACACACTTAGGAAATGTGGTGGATGGATGAAATATGACATATTTCATACTTTTGTTCAACGTTGTTGTGCCTCAAACCAACCCTTGTTGGCTTTCTCAAGAATCAGTTGTCACGTGCTTGTCTTCTCAATGGGATTTTGATAGCATTGTCGGTTTGCACTGGGCTGTCAGAAACTCCAAAGAGAAACGAGCTAGAGGAACACTTAGATGTGTTTTATTAAGAGTTATTTAGAGACGGTTTAGGGTTAACATACGCATGAGGCTGGTGGTTAGGATCACTTACAATGCTTGCTTGAGCAAGTGTGTAATTCGTAAAGCATGTTGGGATTGGTTCGATGGGATGAACGCGTCTGACTGCCTTAAGGAAATGGTGGCGAGAAGGATGAGGGTGGTGTGGGTGAAGAACCATAGCATGGGGGATATATTATTTAATTTATGTATTGCCTCTAAACAATATGATCACGCTTGCTGTTGCGAGAATGCGGATTAGTTATTCCCACGGGTCGATGGACATGTCTATTTTTGTTCGTCGATGGTTGAATTTGTGTCTCCCTTTCTTAAGAACTCGCGAAAAATTCCCTTCCTTTCTCGTACTAAAACCAGCGGCACTACCAAGAGTCAGGCTTGTGTTTTCAGGATTTCAAATCCTTTATTAGCCGACAACAGAACATGGCAGTAATCAGCTCTTGTCTACACAAGGCTAAGTGCTATACGACCATGGTAGGTATGGAGGTTGCTTTCCTATTCACTTTAAAGATCGAACTAAGAAAGATAAATTTCCCGGATGAATTCTTTGATGACGCACTCTACAAGTTCTCCGCAAAGTTTGAAGGCGTTTGGGCGGACTGGGTCAAATATCTGACCGGGTGGGGAGACTTTTTCCAACTGGAGGCTGCGTAGGTTTGGCAGGAAGAGTAGTCGTAACGATGGAATAGTCCAAGATCTTGCAAGTGTGAAGGTCGAGGTCTCTGGTGGCACCAGTTGGAACCTCGCAAATGGCATCTGTAGAGCTAACGACCAAACAGGTAGGGACCATGCCTGTGGCAATTGTATGTAGGGCTCGACCCGAGGCTCTTGGTGGCTAACTGACGGTTCAACTGATTTTTCCATTGGGTGTCGGACGAAGGGCCTAGGAGTATGGGACGTATAATTTTGTTTTTGGTATGTCCCTTCGTTTGTTGTTGCTTTGTTCTTGGTCTCGTTCTCGACTTTGTTTCTTTTGTTTTTGGTTTTGGTTTTGTTTTTTCAGTAAAAAAAAAATCAATAACAAGTGGGGTCGAATTGGCTGGATGTAGTGTTGTTTGTCAGATGGTTGTCCGAGAAGTTGGAGTTACGTTTCTCTGAGACTAGGATCTCAAGTTGGCCTGGACATGGGTGCAACTGGTGGACTGGGTGTGGGGTTTTTCAGGAAGCCGGCCTGAACTAAGGACTATTTTTTCTTCTGACTCTTTCTTCTTCTATGAACTTTGTCTTATTCTCTTCTTCTATAGGGCCTATCCATCCTGACGGTGGTGGGAGGGGTGTCTCCTACTCGATGATCCTCCAGTACTTAAGTCTTGAGTCTTACTCGTTCATTCCTTTTTCTTGCGACAAAACGACCCCTGTTGAGTGCCGGTTTGGCGGACCAGTCAAAACGCAGCGTCAGGTCGATGCGTCATGATTTTTTATGTACATCTTTCATTTGATTGGCGATGCTTAATTGCTTAATTCAATACGTCCATGATTGGTCGTTTTCAGGATATATGAGATTGTGTTATCTCTCTCTCTCTCATCTTTTGCTTTTCATCTATGCTGGATTGATCAAGGAATGCTTTCTGTACGAACGATTGACTTTGCTGTGATGGACTTTGTCTCAAAACAAGGACTGTCTTGAGCACATAGTTCCTCGGAAGATGAACCAGAAACTCGCTAAGATTTTACGAGAAGGAATTGACCAAGCCCTCCCAATCATCAATTTAGGATTCCATTACTACATGAGCATTGTCAAGAGGGATACTGCCAGGTAAGCAAACATTGTCGCCCGACCTATCCAATTTTATCACTCCCAAACTGTTAACAAGTTCACGCTATTAGTGTTATGGGGGCTTATCAATTGTCTATTTATCTGTGATTGCAGACTCAACATCCCGACGTGGGAGTATTCATCCTATCGCAAGAAGGATGAGAAGGAGACGTCTAAGGATCATCGTCGCTCTTCCTCATCATCGTTCAAGAGACATTATGACTACGACAATGACCTTGACTATGATTACTACTGCGCAAAGAGGGCCAACACCGACAATGACCACAAGCATACCACCGTCACTTTCACCCATACCACCGAATATACTCCCACCTTTCCAAATCCCTTTCATCCCCACAATACTCTCAAATAATAGCTCAACTCCTCCATCTCTCCACGACTTACAACTCGCAACCTTCACCCTTCACGAACCTGCTTCATGGTGATGCCATCCTAACAACTTCATCGCGGCCTCTCCATCAAACAACTTCTCCAATTGGTCTCTTCTTCTCTCCTCCTCCAATCGTCATTACTCCCCTTTTGTTGTACAATGGATTAAACATGGTGTTAAACTCCAGTTTAAGGGTACTAGTCATGTGCCTACTTCCAAAATTACTGAAGTCAGAAGGATGGTAAAAGGTGTTCTCCCTGCTGGTCAATTCAAGCGTGCTCTCACTCTCCAAAAACCACATCGTGTAACCATTCTCAATTACAACCTCTTACTTCACGATACCAACTTTATCTCCTCCACAGTCACTCAACTTTTGAACTATGGTGTCATTGAAGTTTCCCACAATCCTCTTGTCATTAAGCCGGTCGTCGCTATAGAAAGTTCTTCAAAAAACCGCTTCATCTTAGATGTGTGTTTTGTCAATCTCTTTGTTACCTTTTCTGAATTCCACTATGAATCTATAGATGACCTCGTTCCATTACCCTCAGGTCATCCATCCCAGAGCTTCCTTACTTGCATTGACATTTAGAATGACTACTACTATGTCTCAATTCACTCAGTCTCGCCCCTATCTTGCTTTCAACTGGGAAGGCACTGCCTATCATTTCAAAACTCTTTGCTTTGACGTATCACCAGTCTGCTGGATTTTCACAACCATAATGCAAGAAATCATGTTCGAACTTCGTCATCGCAACATCTTCATTCCGCACTCGTTAACACCAATCTTCCCCTCATACTATGACAATCCTTTAACTACGTAGCCCTCCTTCACAATCTTGGAATTTTTCTCAGCCTCAGTGCCCTCCACAAATGCTCCTCCATGCCTTCCGAACAAATCTGTTTCCTTGGTTTTATCACTGACTCACACGATAAGCGAATAAAAGTTCCTAAAGACAAAGCTAAAAAATCATCGTCCTCATCTGCTCATCCTCCCATCACCCTAACTCAAGCATGACCCTCGCTAAATTAGCTGGAACGCTTGTCTCACTCTCCAAGGCCTTCGTTCCAACTCACCTCTTCCTCTCCTCTCTCTATGATGCATTCAATCCCTCGAATTGGGACTCCCCAATCAGCACCACAAAAACCTAACTAACAATCTTTTGTGGTGAGTCTCTCACCTTCCTCATCTTCCCAGACGACTATGGACAATAAGAGCAACCTTCCTCATCTTCACTGACAATTCCACACACTAGATCGCCGCCGCGATCACCCACCTCACAGCACCCCAAACACCCTCAACCAATGCTTCTCTGAAGCTCTTGTACCAACTTCCTCAACTCATAAAGAACTCTTCGCAATTCGTGAAACCTTCTCCTCCCTCACCTCCAACTACCCCCATTTGCTCCTCCCTGCCTCCATAAGACTTCACTATGATAGTCATTCTGCCTCTGCACTCGTTGCACATATGCGATCCACTAAGCCATCCTTCAATATCTGGCTCCGTGAAATCACTTTCATCATCATCCTTCATGACACACTCCTCAATCTTGTCTGGATCCCCATATCCTTTAACTCCTTAGTAGATTCTATCTCCGGAACAGAAGACAACATGGACTGGGGGCTTGCCCTTCATCTCAAAACCGAAATTTTCGCCGAATTAGGAGTACGAGCAATTGACCTCTTTGCTTTAGATTACCACCATATGTGCCCAACTTTCATATTTAAATCAT